TGCAAATCGCCACAGAAATCGATTAGTCATCCTCAAGCACTACTGATTTATATACGTTTTATGTTGTTTCACCAGTGTATTATTAGGCATAGACCGAAGACTCTTATCGAAACTACAATCACTCGGTCTACTCGAATTTACTAAAAGACGGTGGAAGTTTCGTGAAATTGCTGTTGGATAATCAAAATGGGCCACTTAGCACCAGCTTAAAAGTGGTAACTGTGATCCAATTTAATATACGTATGCATTACTTATCCCAACTCAACTAGTTTCTACTTATAGTTTCCATAGGACAACTAAACGAATTAACCTCATGCATGGTTCTTTTTTTTCATTTTGAAGGCACCTATATCACTTACTTACACTTCCTTCTCGGAACAGTTGTGCGGCCTAGGGAACAACCATAGTCAGCACTTTGAAATCAACACTGTGAGGTGAATTGCAGCACACTCCTGGGTAGATAATGTATGACCACATCTACCACTCAAGGATTCACCAAATCCGAAAATCTATGAGTTCATACAAAAAACCAGAAATCCAAATACTTTCAAGTGGAAGTCAAAGAAGTTGTCGTGCTTACGTAGACACACTCCCCTCTTTAAAAGGGATTACTTATGTTCTTTGTGTCCAGCATAGCCTTATGTGAACTAGATGGTTATGATCGGTTGGAATAAGAACATATCTTTTTGTATTCTATTGACTCCCGTTCCCTGGATACTCCCTTCAAGAGGACACAGGTTTCTCTAGATATCGGATGTTTCGCTTTTGGCATTAAAACCACCGTGAAGCTGATATCTCAGGCTCAAGAGCGCAGTATACCAATGCTCAAGAATGCATTCATACTTGAAGGTAATTCCAATGAAAATGCACGCCGGGCAGTTGCGCGAAGTTGACGACTGCAGTAAAGCCACACACAAAACTCCCTAGCATAAAGTAGCTTTCAATTGCCTTTAATATCGCATCAGATCATTACAAGAAACGTTGTCGCTAGTTGGATTTAAATGGGAAAGACCACCTTCAGGATAAATGCCAGTGTTAGATGTGAAAATGTGCGAACATTTCAACATGCAGAGCATGAAAATCTCCTGTGCACAACCAGGGAATGCTCAAGACCTCACGTCAGGAAACTCCGAACTTGACAGATACCATCCATCATGTCTTCTAATAACACCTCTGTGCACCAGTAGCACCACCGCATTCAACGCTACTACATCTTACTTTTATCCCGCGTAAAAAAGTGCAATTACTTTGGCTAGCTTCTCCCAGTGTCAGACTGCGCCAGCGTGACAATAGGTATCCGATCAAACTGATAAGTGGATAAAACGCCTGCGAAACCCAGCACATGTTATGAAATCGGTTGCCAGCGATATCATTTCTAAAACTGCGGATTGAACCACTTACAACGCTGAACGCTACCTTTAACAGACTGACATTACTCATCCCACTCCATTTCAAATTCTAATTTATTTAAGCCTCAAAACCTAATTTAATCACAAAGATCAAAAAAGGAGGAAAGGAAAGACCATTAGTGGGCGGCTTTCGCGGTGATTGACGACAGCGATGTCCAGTTGTTCGAAATATTAGAAGCAAGTAGAGCGCCAGTGAGTGTCTCGACTATCTGGATTGCAAGTGAACCGATCCCATGAGCACCTTCCTGATTTACCAGAATCGCAACACAAATCGGCGGCAACTGCGAGATTTGGACTAGAGAAGGAGCAGACTGGCACATCTGCTCCATGCAAATAGGAAGGCTTAGTAAAAGAATCGATGTAAAGCCAACGGCCCCACCAGTGTGACCCACATATAGGCGGTCAGGCTGGTTGAGTGATCTCGCCTTGTCAGACGGTGCGGTCGACCTCCTGTTAGGAAACCGGAAACATTAACCTTAATAATCTAACGTCAGAAACAAGAAATGACAAGTGGTGCGACGGAAGCCAATTAAAAAAAATTGAGCAGACGTCTCTACCATGACGACTCTGAAAACCTGATAATTGTAAAATATGTTGATGGGATGTCTTTTAAAAGAGAAGAAAAACATTGTTAAATCAGAGTGAAAGTTAAATTTGTGACTTGGATGAATTCATATCTTGGCTTGTCTCAAGTATACCAGAACTTTTTGAGGAAGAAGGCATATTAGACTATCATAGAATTTAGAGGTCTCTTGTTCATCAACTGAATGCCAGCTCACCTACCGCTGTTACTTACCGGGCAACAAACCAACCGAGACCGTACAGGCCACCGGGAAGCCAAGAACCTTGAACCGTTCCACAGACGGGAGACCAGAGGAAATTTACGAGAGTTTTACGGGACACCACCGCAAGGTTCTCCATGCCCTCATACTGGCCCAGGTAGATGCCGGCGACGTGGTTGGCCATTTGAATGAGATCGGGTGCAGTGGACAAGATACCACCTCCAGACCATTTATAAGAGTTATCAACCCATGGCGTATTCGCTAAACACCCGTTTGACTTTTCCCGACGGTATGGCCTCGGTATTAAATATTGGAAAATATTTAACGCCGCCGGCATAAGACGAAAAGATAAACAACTACGTAAGATTGGTGACCATCGTCATCACCGCTGATCTTATGGAAAGAGCATGTCAGAGCAGGCAGTTCGATTAACATCCCGATAGTTAGGTACCATGTTCATGACGGTCACAGGAAGAATTATGCCGCAAACGAGACCCAAGGAGATATTCATCAGTTAACATTAAATTGTCAACAAGTAACCCAATGATATAGATAAATAGAAGTAACACATTTTACACACCGGTTTCCCCAGCGAAATGTGGCATTTCGGTAATGGGTAAAATGCAAGGGTCATAACCAGAATTTAAAAACGTTGAAGAGTTTGTTTTTCCGCCAAATATCACAGCATCGACTGACCTATGATGGGAATCAGGCACTGTCGCAAATGGTTCCGAGTTTTATCATTAAATCCAGAACAGTAAGCGGTACCATAAAAGGAAACCTGAGGAGCCTCATATAGTTGGTGTTGGACGTCATATAGGGCAAAACATTGCCCGGCCTTCAACTAATACATTTGCCACTTACTGAACGCACAGTACCTCCAAAAAGACTTCTAGTCAACCAGGAAAGGCATTCTACCACCAACTTTAGAGGATTTTCTCCACTAATTGACGCTGGCATACCTTGCACGGAATGGGATGACCGCGTTAGGCTCGTCGAGGCAAGTGTTGTGCAGACCCAAAAAGGCGAATAGTTGTTTAAACAATGATCCTGATTTCGAGTCATTAGACAATTTTGTTCCAGTATCTTTCTTTTCATTTATATCTAACACTTCCTTAAGGCGAGCAGGTCGTTCGAACAGAGGTTTGGGCGGGTGGGTGTTGGCTACAATTGCTTCGATAACTGCAGCTGCAACAACGTAACCATGGGAACTGTACAAGTAGTCTTCTCCAGGCAGATGAATTAGCGCATCGTCCCGAAAAATGGCCAAAGAATCATGGGCCGAATCGTAGGCTTTGGTAATGAGCATTTCCTCTGGGCACTGAAAAGATTAATTTCATATTTTGGAAAGACTGTGATTATGAGAAAGGTGAGTCTCAAGGCAAGGTATGTGACCATTTATGTAAAATAGGATTTTCGGTGACAAGAACCACCGGAGTAACAAACTTAGTTGTTGCGGGAGTACAGATGACAAGAAAATATATGTTCTTACCATATCCGTCTTTTTCTCCTCACCAGCTTTGTAGTAATCCCGAACTCCACTTGTGTGACTGAGTAGATGTTTCATTGAGATTGGCGACTAGGGAAACATAAGTGCAGTAAATAATAGAAAAATATCAATTCATTTAGAGAACAGATGTTCGGCATCCACTGCTCGCAGAGGTGTTCTAAGCAAACATGGTACAAACCCAGAGCCGGTACGCAATGGAGGTCCAATGAACTTTTACTACGCAGTTCAAAGGCTTACAGATTTGCCCTCTAGCGTTTTTGGAGAGAAGTCTGGAAGGTACGTCCTGATATCTGCATTCAGGTCAAGTCTAGCCTGGTCAATCAATCGGCCTGTTAACAGCGACGTGAATGACTTGCTGATACTTGCGATTCTGAATTTGGTTTGGGGAGAAACACTGACGCCTTGTTCCACATCAGCGAGACCGAAACCTGAAATGGTGAAAAAAATAACTATAATTCTAGCTCAAACTACACATTGTTGAGTGTACGTACTTACAATAATACCGTAAAGCATTAAAGCTATTTCATCGTTAGTCTCAGATATTGGATTTTAAACCTACTTCTAATTGGGAGGAAAATAAATATAACAAGTAAAACTAGCACAAACCTTTCGAATAAATAATTGCCCCACCAATAGAAATACAAGCTGAAACGCCTGGAGCGCCCGTAGTAGCCTATTTTGAATGAGCGCTGACTTGAAATATTCTAACCTTAAATGTTTCGATTAGTTGATCAACCGACTTGATGGTTTGATGGAGGGAGGAACCAGTGATGCCATCAAGCTCACTAGTTGTGGATGATCCTGGTCTCCGAGTTACCATACCCCAAGCAAATGCTATTAAGACCCGAGACTTCATTACACAGAGAGAAGAGCAGTGTAGTCGCGGTGACGTCTATTTGGTGTGCGCAGTGAAGTTGTGGCGCCGGATTAGGGCGCAGACATGTTGGGCCACCTGGCCTCAGCCAATCCCGTGTCTCGATGTGATCCAATTGCATGCGGGAAAGGAAGGCAGCCAACCAGAGAAGGACACGGCTGAGGAGTAGTATATAATGAGCGGCGTGGCCAGCGTAATGGACTCGGATGGAAGACGCCTGACGCGTGGGTCTGGCTTCTGATTGGTCAATAAAGCCTGTTCTGTTGTACCGGTGTTTTTCCTATTAGGGCTTGGGTATTCTATATTGGTGGCAGCGGATGCGTTCGAATAATGCAAATCGAACCACAGCCCTTTCTCTTCTATGGTCAACACAGGCAAAGACCTTTGATTGCCAGCTGAATTTGTCATGGCGGTCATCCGATGTCCAATAAATTGGATCCATAGACATTGCCCGGTATTAGGACTACTGCATCTGAAGAGGCATCGGCAACTTAGCGACGACGACTTGGACAGTGAAAGCTGGCTGGACCGCAACTACGAAGGGTCTTCGATGGATGATGAGTCTTTCCTGCAAGTCTACAAGAGAAAAGTCCCTCGTCAACTATTCGCGTGGGCCACTATCCTGCCAGATGTGGGGTGCGGGGAGTGTCAAACTGGATATATTACCAAAAATGGATATCAAAAACAGTGAGATAAACTAAGCCAGAAGCTGAGGACAGCTTCAGTCTTGAGGGGAAGGCAGTTTGGGTCGAATAGGGGAAGGCGCCAAACGCGTGGCTCTGGCTCCTGATTGGTCAAAAAAGCCTGTCTGTTGTTCTGTTGCAACAGACGACTTCATAGAAAGGATCAGGTACTCTACAAAATGTCGACAAAGAACTGAGCACAGACCGAACAACATGTATTGTGAAGATTTCCACAGGCCAAGTGACACGTTGAAGTGTGCTAACGACATCGGAGAGCAGATTTTCGTAATCTCAGTTGACGTAGGCTAGTTTTCGTTGCCACGGACGCTTTTTTTGAGAAAATCGCAATGAGGTCCGTACCACTTGATTTCCTTTTGCTAACGTACTCCACTTGCCAATTTTCAGTGTTGAATAGTCGAATTGGGTATCACCATGGAAGCAGGCGTTCTACTTGACAACCGGATTTCATTTGTTGTGGATTAAGCAAGTTATCTGCAAATGTGTTGTGAGCCTCAAAGTGGTGTCAACAACAGGAATGACGCAGAAGGATCCTCGGAATACCCAAGCACCATCAATACCTTGATTTTTTCTCTATAACGCGTTTCTTCAAATAGTCAATTGATTCGGTAAATGGTCATTTGCCCAGCATGGATTGCGCTTGATGCATTTGCATTTACGCTGTATAATTATGGCAAGTTTCATTACGACGCTGTCATGGAGTCGTGCTGAAGTATACATTTTAAATTGCTGCGTCAAATACAAAAAGCGAACTAGTGCCGTTGAGAGTAAGACACAAAGCATTGTTGGTTTTAAAATACTTCAGGAAGCTGGGTTGACTCGAATTGTATTCCTTGAACCGCAATAATGGCAAAGGCAACTGACTAGGGCAATCAACCTCTCGATGGACGACAGAAACGTCTGACTATCATGCGAAACAGAAAATGAAAGCTAGCTGCTAAAATAAAACATGCTGGAGGTAGGTAATGCTCATGAGATATCAATGTGCTAATTTTGCAGGCGTTGGATCCCACCAGGGGTGTTTTGTCACGCTAATCTGTACTGAGCATCTGGTATTTTCTGCATTTTTGTGTTCATCGCCGAATGCACCAATTAATTATGGGCCACGGTTTACGTTGCGACACCAACTGCCATGATAGGCACTGGCTGGC